TTGAGTTAGTCATTTTGGCGAATTACTGAAAGATGGCAGTTCTGGCTAAAAGGAAGCCTTTTTTTTTTTTTTTAACATGAATGTTTCCTCTCATAAAATCCATCATGGTTAGGAACTATACATTCCTTGGTACGATTACTTGGTTAATGTTTGCTTCCCCTTCATGGAAACAAAAACGGTGCTATTTTGCTTACTGAAAATGTATCTGCAGGGCCTGAGGTTACAAAAGATGTTCAATGTAAAGTACTTTTGTTAGAGAACATTTAGAAAGTCAGAAAGAAATGGGTGGAAGACAGCACTACAGAAATGCTAAGAGAAAGTAAACCATGGCCTCTTCATCCCAGTTTCAATACCTGCTATAATACCTGGCGTTGGGGCCATTTATAGTCATTTTGGTAAAGCGAGCAGGACCTATTCATTGAGGAAACTGCATTTTACAGTGGGCCAATCAGAAAATAACATGAAGTACTGAGGTACCATCACTGTTTTGCTGAAGAGTGAGTTCTTAGGAGCTTGGCTATTTATTTGGTAAAGGAAGCTTACCGTACCTTAGTTTGGTCTTTAGACATCACTCCCACCCCTCCTCCAGGCTTGAGTCTTTCATAACCAAACTTTTCCTGGAGATGAAACTTCATGTGAAAAACCATCAGCCAGATATTTAAACCCAAATTCTGATTTCAAATCTTATGATTGACATATGAAAATAGGATCTCTCTTCTCAAGAAGTGCCCTTCCTTCCACTACTCTATTTGGGTCACTTCCCAAGTTGGATTCGTGACCCCCCACTGGGTTAGGACTTCGGGATAGACTGAACTTGTATGAAATTGCACACCTCCAGAGCAGGAGTGAATTGTGTGTTAATCCTGTCCCCAGAGTGTCTGAAGGTGTCTGGTGTGATTCACATGTCAAAGGCTGGTGTCATTTTCTTAGCTGGCCCGAGCTACGGGATAACCAGAATTCTGCTTTCATATCTTTTTGTCTCAGAGGGATTTGCCAATTTGCCTGATTTCACCTAGGGTTCACAGGTCAGCCAGCAGCGTCTCATGCCCAGGAAGATAAACCACTCCTCCCAACTTCTTTCTGCCTGGTCAGTCTGCTAGGTGCTCAGAGCAGGTGACTGCAGACCTGAGGTGATCTGAAATGTCCTTGGGGAGAATCTGGCCTCAAAGCGCCTTCCTGGTTTGAATGCCAGGTCACAGATCCTTCCACTAGGAGAGCCATGCCTTTGGGTCACAGCAGTACTTTCCCAGTATTCTGCGTCTCAAACTGGGGGATGGGGGGCAGGGCGGACACACGAAGTCACCTTTGAGAACATTTTCTTCCAAAGATTATCTGTGGATCAGATAAGGACCAGGGCAAGACTGAAAGTACTTATGACCTTGGGGAGTTTAAAGGAGCGGTGCGATTCAGTACCAGGTCAAGAGTAAGAGGACAAACTTTTAAAATGTTTATTCCCTTACTGGGTTTTAGGCCACGGATGTCTTTCAGATGACGCGAGCTGAGATCTCGTGCTCAGTGACTCTTCTCTTCTGGCCCCCCAGCCTCCACGCTC